CCCCCCCCCTCCCACGACCCGACTCCCCGAGCCCCGGACCTGCCGGCCTCCCGACCCCCGACCGCCGACCCACCGACCTCCCGACTCTCAGGCTGCCCTATCCCGGACCCACTGACGACCCGACCCACCTGCCTCCCGACTCTCCCACCGCCCGACCCCCCGACCTACCGGCCTCTCGACTCTCCGGCCGCCCTATCCCGGACTCACTGACCCCCGACCTACCGGCCTCTCGACCTCCCAACTACCCTCTCCCCCGCCCTTGACTCCTCAGCCTCCCGATAACCAGTCCACCCGCCTGCCGACCCACCAGCCTCCGAACCCCCCGCCCCCGATCCGCCCGCCCCCCTACGCTGTCCGACCCCCGGGCCAGCCGACCCACCAGTCTCCGGACCCCCGAACCACCCGGCCACTGACGCTGCTCGACCCACAGGTCTCCCGACCCCTTGACCCCCTTGGCCGCCTACCCACCAACGTTGCCACTGACTCCCGACCCGCCCCCCACTGGTCTCCAGAACCCCCAGACCCACTGGCCTGCGGCCGGGCGCGCGTTGAGTCACCGCCTGAACCCCGAGCCGGACCTGCACCCCACGCCCCCGGAGGGACTCGCTTGCTGAAAGGAGACTCTGGCTCCAGGCACCAGCGGCGCCGGGTGACCGGGCGACAGGGCCGCTCTCCCCTGGAGCCCCAGGACACCCGCGCCTTCTCCCACAGGGCGCCCGCCACGTCGCCTCTGCTGCTTTAGGTCTTGCCAGACCATTTGGGCTTTTTATGTATTTATTTGGGCAGCTGTAACTCACGTCTGTCTTGGTCTGAAACGGAATAAATGCTTCCAACAATAGGAAAATAGTTGGGTAAATCCCGGTAGGGAGCCCCTCCGAACTTTGTTATGTGCTTATTATTTATAACAAATATTTCCAAATGGAACGAACACAATACCATATTTATGATCATTTTGGTGAAGCGCTGGGTGTGGGAAGATGTTCGCGGTATTTTAAGAGGAGAAGTCTGTCCAGAATGATCTCAGTTTTGTGTAAAAGAAAAAACACACGCAGGAGTTTGGAAGCGTATATGTCAACACAGTCTAAGCGGGTTTTCTCTTAGCAGTGAGACCGCGCAGGCCGTTTTTGCACATTTTCTAACATTTTTTTTTGATTTATATTTTGATCTCGTCGTAATAAGAATAGAATCTTTAAACAAAAAAGGAGACAGAAATTAAATAAATAAATGGGAAAACTCCTTAAGAGGCAAACCCAGGCGGTCGGTTGGACGGAGCCTTTGAATGGGGCCCCCCTGTGGCCATAAAGGTGCATTTCCTTTCAGAATTCCCTCTAAGGGAGACTTCTGAAGAGCAACCTGTGCGGCCCGTGGTCTTCTGTCTGGGCTTTGGGGTCTAGCGGGCAGGGGTCTTCATGTGCCCTTTGCTTTCAGGCCATCAGCCTGGCCAGGAGTCGTCTGGTTGCATTCTTTATGTGTAAAAGTAGAATTCTGTCCAGGAGCGGGGGGAGGGGGCATGCTTTCCTCAGGAGTCTGCTCCTTGAACCTGATTTTCTTTTTTCAGGATGCCAGCCCAGCTCTTTTCGGATGCCCCGAGCTCTTGAAGGTTGTTGTGGGGATGGGGTGGGGGAAGGATAGGGGATTTCCAGCTAGGAGCCCCTGCTCAACCCCCCTTGCTTTTTTTTTTTTTTTTTGCCTCTTGGAGTAAATCTCTGAAAGGGTGTAGTTGACCCACTCACTGTAGGAGAATGTTCCTGAACCTTCCCGTGGTCCGTTTCCTCCCCCCCCAGCTTTGTTTCTACATGATTTCTTCCCCTCCCAAATAACACATTTCCTCTGCCAGGATGGGCCCACGTTTTATGGGCTTGAATCTTGTATGATTCAGGGAATATTGTTAAGAGAAAAAACTTGCACAAAATAGCAAATTTATTTTTTTATAGATTTTTTAAATGTTTTTATTTATTTCTAGGAGATAGAGAGACAGCGTGAGCAGGGGAGGGCCAGAGAGAGAGGGAGACACAGACTGAAGCAGGCTCCAGGCTCTGAGCTGGCAGTCAGCACAGAGCCCGACGCGGGGCTCGAACCCACGAACCGCGAGATCATGACCTAAGCGAAAGTCGGACGCTTAACCGACTAAGCCACCCAGGCGCCCCCAAAATAGCAAATTTAAAAGTAGGTACAGGGGGCCGCCTGGGTGGCTCAGTTGGTTAGGCATCCGACTCTTGATTTCGGCTTAGATCATGATCTCACGGTTGGTGAGATCGAGCCCTGCATCAGGCTCTGTGCTGGTAGTGTGGAGCCTGCTTGGGATTCTCTTTCCCTCTCTCTCTCTCTCTGCCCGTTGCCTACTCATTTTCTCTCTCTAAAACTAAATAACTAAAAAAAAAAATAGGTACAGAGTTGGTGCAAGGGAGGTAATCTGAATCTTGAGATTTGTTAGCTTCATGGTAAAGTCCTTGATTAAAAAACAGACAAAAAACACCAGGGGCACCTGGGTGGCTCAGTCGGTTGAGTGTCTGACTTCGGTTCAGGGCATGTTCTCATGGTTTGTGAGTTCGAGCCCTGCATCAGGCTCAGCGTGGAGCCCCCCCCTTTGGATCATCTCTTCCCCTCGCTCTCTGCCCCTCCCCTGCGCTGGTTCTCTCTCTCTCTCTCTCTCAAAAATAAACATTAAAAAACAAACAAAAAATGAGCCATGGGAACACAGCCACGGCTGGGTGGGTTGGGACGTCTACCCTGGAGTATTCTCGGTGGGCGGCGGGAGGAGGTGGGGGTCGGAGGCTGGAACATTATGCCATTAGCTGGCACAGATCTGCAGGCAAGGCAGCCAGCCTCTCATACGGACCATGAGGAGATTGGACCAGGCTGTTCTGTAACTCTCCTGGGTCTGGTTTCCTTTCACGCCGGTTCGCTTTGACCCGCCCGAAGACCGTGGTGTTCACTCTCACTGTGACCTGCGCGCGGACCTCCGCGTGACAGCTTGCTCATACTGTCATGAGACCACGGGCCGGTCTGTTCCCGGAATACCTTGGAGAAGGGGCTTCTTCCTTTTCAGGGAAACAAAGATGTCATCTCCATGGTGAGATGGCCCCTCAGGGTCCCAGCGCTTCCCTGGGACATGTATTATTCGCTTTACAGAGGATGTGAGCAGTGGGGGGCAAGGTGCCGCCTGGGTGTCTCTGGAATGAATTCTTCCCAGGAGAGAGGATCTGACTGGTTTGGTTCTTCCCTCCGATAGAGAGCGCCCCCTTTCGAGTAGAGTTGAAAGGCACCTTCCGAAGGTGCTTGGACCCATTCATCTCATCTTTGTATTTTTCAAGACTGGCAGATAAGTGGGTGTGCGTGTGTGTTACAGACATGTACGGTTCTCTCTTTTCTTTCAGAAAGGACAGACCGTATCAGGTAGATGCAATCTGAACTGGATCTTAAAGGATGGGCAACATTTTTAAATTTTTTTTTTTAATGTTTTATTTATTTCTAGGAGAGAGAGAGAGAGAGACAGTGTGAGCAGGGGAGGGTCAGAGAGAGAGGAGTCACAGACTGAAACAGGCTCCAGGCTCTGAGCTGGCAGTCAGCACAGAGCCCGACGCAGGGCTCGAACCCATGAACCGCGAGATCATGACCTAAGCGAAAGTCGGATGCTTAACCGACTAAGCCACCCAGGCACCCGTGGGCAACATTTTTAATAAGCAGAGGGCATCTCAGACCGGAGGGTGGTGGTAGAAGGGGTAGCGAGGGAACAGCCTAGAAGAAATTGGGGTAGGAAGGTACAAAGCAGGGTGTGAAGGGACATGGTTCCGGCTACGCTCGGACTTTAAGCCACGAGGGAAAATAGGCTGGGCCGTATGGGGACAAGCTTGACAGACTGTCCTCGGGCTGAGGGGCTGGATTCAGTGACTGTGGCTGAGCCGGGAATAAGCCCCTTACGGAGCCCACAGGGAGGCTCACCTGATGACGACCTGGGGGAGGGACTGAGGCCGATGAGAGATGAGCCGGGAGGGTACTGCAGAGTCCAAGCGGGAGGGGGGAAAGTGCCTGGCCACATGCAGCAGGAGCGGGAAGAGAAAGGAGGGAGCAACACAGAGAGCTGGGAGTGATCCACACTGAGAGGTGATGGCCCACTGGGTGTGTCGTTTATGTGAACAGAAATCCTGGGATCGCGTTCAGGGGCTGCGTCTGGATGGCGGGGAGGGGGGAGCGGTGCAGGGAGGAGAGCATGCACCTACCACAGGAACAAAGTGGGTGCGAAGACGAGTTCAGTTTTCAGGAATGTTGTTTTAAAAATTCAACTTTTAAGGGGCGCCTGGGTGGCTCAGTCGGTTGGGTGTCTGACGTCAGCTCAGGTCATTATCTCATGGTCTATGAGTTCGAGCCCCGCATGCTGACAGCCTGGAGCCTGGAGCCTGCTTCGGATTCTGTCTCTGTCTCTCTCTCTCTCCCTGCCCCTCCCCTGCTGGTGTTCCGTCTCCCTCCCTCTCTCAAAACTAAATTTTTAATTTATTTTTTAAAATTTATTTCGGGGTGCCTGGGTGGCTTAGTCGGTTAAGCGTCCGACTTTTGCTTGGGTTATGATCTTGCGGTTCGTGGGTTCGAGCCCCATGTCGGGCTCTGTGCTGACTGCCAGCTCAGAGCCTGGAGCCTATTTCGGAGTCTGTATCTCCCTCTCTCTCTGACCCTCCCCTGCTCACGCTGTCTCTCTCTCTCCTCTCTCCTAGAAATAAATTAAAAAAAAAAAAGTGGTATTGGGAAAACTGGATACCCACATGCACCATATACAAAACTTAACTCAAAATAGATGGGGACCTAAATGTAAGAGATAAAACTATAAAACTTTTTAAAAAGATGTAGATGTGCATCTTCATGACCTTTGATTCTTTCTTCTCAATGATATTGAACACACAAGCAACCAAAGATAAAATAGGTAGTTTGGGCATTATCAAAATTGACAGCATTTGTGCTTTGAAGGATGTTATCAAGAAAATGGAAAGATGGCTTAGGGAAATGGGGAAAATATGTGTAAGTCTTTTATCTGATAAGGGAGTTATATCCAGAATATAAAGAATGCTTCCAACTCACCAATAAAAAGACAATCCAATTTTTAAAATGAGAAAGTAAAACACAGAGTTACCATATAGTCCAGAAATTCCCCTGCAAGGTGTATNGGCTCCAGGCCCTGAGCTGGCAGTCAGCACAGAGCCCGACGCGGGGCTCGAACCCACGAACCGCGAGATCATGACCTAAGCGAAAGTCGGACACCCAACCGAGTAAGCCACCCAGGCGCCCCTAAAATATATATTTTTTTAATTTTTAAAATTTTTTCGCCCCTAAAATTTTTTTTAAGATAAAAAATAAAAAATTCAACTTTTGATATGTGCCATTTCTAGGTAGAAACTGCCCATCACAGCGGGTTCTCAGACAAGCTGCCGCTGTGGGAAAGCTTGTGACGGGTGTGGATCTCTGGATCCCGTCCCAGATCTACTAAAGCCAAATCTCTGGGGGTGGGTCCTGAGTATCGTGGGGGAAACTTTTAGAAAGGAAGATCTATTTTTATTTTTTTTAATTTTTTTTAAATTTTTTAATGTTTTATTTATTTCTAGGAGAGAGAGAGAGACAACGTGAGCAGGGGAGGGTCAGAGAGAGAGGGAGTCACAGACTGAAACAGGCTCCAGGCTCCGAGCTGGCAGTCAGCACAGAGCCCAACACGGGGCTCGAACCCACGAACCGCGAGATCATGACCTAAGTGAAAGT